ACTTAAGTTCGCTCAACGCCACAGGGAGGGCGAACATCATAACTGTTTCTCGCAGTTGAGGTGCCTTTAGATTGGTATATAAGCAGTGATCGAAAATTTTTTTTTTGTCGAAATTTTTTTCTGCCCGATGTCTCTCCTTTATTGGATTTGAGACAAATTCTTTTTTGGAAGAAATGGTTTCACTAATATTTTGATGACCATTTTTTTATTTTAATTTAAATATTAAAAATAAAATAATAATAATAACTATAAAAAAATAATAAAAATAAATTTTTTTTTAAATTATTGATTTTTTAAATTATTATTAAAATTTTTAATATTGGATATTGGACTTACTAAATTACTAAATAAATAATATTAAAATAATTTTTGCAACATCGTAAACGACGTAGTAAACGACGTAGTAAACGACATCGTAAACGACGTAGTAAACGACATCGTAAACGACGTAGTAAACGACGTAGTAAACGACGTAGTTTGCTATCCCAAATTCCGCTTTCATTTACGACGTCGTTTACTACTTCGTTTACTACGTCGTTTACTACGTCGCAAACTACTTAGAATACGACGTCGTAAACGAGGTCGGAATTTTCAACAGGGGTAGTTGACCTGTCTCAGTAATTGACATGTCCCAATAGTTGACATGTCCCAATAGTTGACATGTCTCTATAGGGGCATGTCCCAGTAGTTGACATGTCCCTATAGTTGACATGTCTCTAATAGTTCATGTCTTAATAGTGGACATTATCGAATGGACATTTTACCTAATGTTTTTGTTTGTGAATCAAAAAAGATAAATGATAGAAAAAAGACCTCCACTCCGCAGTCACTCTTTCTTTTTTCTTTCATTTACCTTTTTTATCAATTTTGATTTTTGCCAATTTTTAGGGTTTCGTGCCCCATGGCCGAAAGCCTTATAGTTTCACTTTGGCGTCCGTCTGTCCGTAGTACAAACCCCAATAGTTGACATGTTTGTTTTGGGGCACCACAGATCCTAAATTCAAATTTTGGGGCCCCACAGATCCCAAAATAAACTTTTGGGGCACCACAGATCCCAAAATCGAATTTTGGGGCCCCACAGATCCCAAATTAAACTTTTGGGGGCACCAGAGATCCCAAATTCGAATTTTGTGGCACCATAGCTCCCAAATTCGAATTTTTGGGCCCCACAGATCCCAAATTCGAATTTTGGGCAAACATAGCTTCCAAATTCGAATTTTGGGGCACCACAGATCTCAAATTCAAATTTTGGGGCACCATAGCTCCCAAATTGAAATTTTGGGGCCCCACAGATCCCAAATTCGAATTTTGGGCAAACATAGCTTCCAAATTCGAATTTTGGGGCACCACAGATCCCAAATTCAAATTTTGGAGCACCATAGCTCCCAAATTCAAATTTTGGGGCCCCACAGATCCCAAATCTCCATTTACTGAATGGACATTTTCCCGAATGGACATTACATGAATGGACATTACATGTCCCATTAGTTAACATGCCCCTATAATTAACATGTCCCAGTAGTTCACCTGTCTCAGTAATTGACATGTCCCAATAGTTGACATGTCCATATAGTTGACATGTCCCTATAGTTGACATGTCTTAATAGTGGACATTATCGAATGGACATTTTACCTAATGTTTTTGTTTGTGAATCAAAAAATATAAATGATAGAAGAAAGACCTCCACTCCACAGCCACTCTTTCTTTTTTCTTTCATTTACCTTTTTGAATTTTGATTTTGCCAATTTTTGATTTTCTTCGAATTTACTGTCTGGGGGAGAATTAATTTATAGAAATTAATATTTTATAATTTATAATTAATTTATAATAAAAATTTTGCTAAATAAATAAAATTTAATAGTACATAAAATTTATAAAATAAATTTTATTATTTATTTTTAAATTATTTATTTTTGATTTATTTTTTTTTAATTAAAATTTAAAGCGCCACGAAACCCTAGATGTAGGCGCAATTGCGCCTAGTTCTTTTCCTATTTTTTTATATTTTTTCAAAAAAAAACTGGTATGTATACCATAAAATATTTTGTAAGTATGTTCCTCGTAAAAACCTATGTACTCTATTGTCTTCTTACAGATATTTTGTTTTGTCTTTTTTCTGATAAGGATGCAGAATACTGTATCGAACCGCGGCAAATTTTGATGTAATTGAATATAAATATAAGCCAAGAGTCCACAAACTATAAAAGACATCTTCTCTGTATTATAAATGGCTTAAAATAAAGAAGTATTTACTTTATGTACTATATTAATTAAAATTATTATTTTAATTTAATTGGAGAAAAAGGCAGTTTTGAAATTTAATGAAATCTTAACCCTTATTTGCACAATTCCGCGTTCGAAAGTAAATGGCACAACAGGTCTGCTAGACCCGACGTATTCAAACGTGTATTGTACAGACGGTATTGAATATTTTTGCACAAAAATTTAATCTGAGGTAGCTTATGATGGGTTTTTTAAAAATATAATTAGGTTTACAGGGATTAATTTATTTGAAGTTAATTAAAAAAAATTGTGAAATATAAAAACGAAAAATTGCAGAATAAAATGTGACATTTTAGGTTAAAATTAAAAATTTATTATTATTAATGTTTAATGCTAATTTATTATTTTGTATCAAATTAGTTGTATCAAAAAACTTATAAAATTACTAAGAATATGTCAAACTAATATATTAAAATATAAAATATATTTAAAAGCTACACATTCAATTAATTTGAGTTTGAAAAAATGCTCGGGTCTCCTGGACCCATGGTGCCAGTTAAGGGTTAATTGTTAACTGTAATATTTATATTCTATATGATTATATTACGAACTCAAGATTTTTAATATTAATATTTAATTATTCATATATAAATATTTCAATTTAATTAATTAATATTTAATATTTAACATTAATTATTATTATTAATGATTTACTAATTCATTGAATGCAACAATTACATAGATTGACTTCCAAACATCCATTTATCTGTCCCAATAGACTTTTTCACCATATTAAATCAATAAATTGATTTTTTCCCAGAAACTGAGTATTCAGTTTTTCTGATCCACCAGGAAAATATTACTAAAAATACAAGAAATTGTTAAATATATTTGTTTAGATATTACTTTTTTAGTTTATATTATCGTCAATATAATATTTTTTATGATTAAATTATAAAAAACATTTTTAAAGTAATATGTGACGCTCCACGAGAAAAGGGACCTAACGTGCTTTTGACTTAAGGTTCGCTTTTACCGTGCAATGACACAGTGAATGAACCTTAAGTCAAAAGCACGTTAGGTCCCTTTTCTCGTGGAGCGTCACATATGTTTAGATAGTAAAAAATATAATCTTTTTATAAACTTTTTTTGCTTTATGATTACATACAAATTTAAAAAACGTTAATTTTACTCAGTCAGCCATGTGCTTCATTAACTTTTGAAGCATGATTTTAAAATGAAATTTTACATTATATACAAATATTTATCAAAAATATTTTATTTAAAAGTGCATCATATTTTAACCTTCGAATTTAAAATTTTAGCATTTCTAATGAAAAATTAAAAATAAGTTAAAATTAATAAGTTATTCTGCATACAGAAGAATTTGTTAATAGTAAGATATAAAATTAGTTTTGAAAAAATTCAACAAAAACAAAATTATAGGAACTGGTTAATGTTGTCGAAATTGACCCCTTTCATAAAAATCACTTTTCCATATATAATGGCATAATAAGCTTATTATCCTTTATTTCTCGAGCACTTAACAACAAACTAATTTAAATTTAGAAATTCATAGTTTATATTGAAAATTTTTTTTTGAATTCTTTTCATTATCTTTAAAAAAATTTTTTTGTTATTTTTAATTGATAATAATTTTAAATTATTAAATTTTAAAAATTAGTTAATTTCGTGAAATCAATGTGGGATACGAGAGGTTAAAATATGTACATAATATTTATTTTGAGATTTATTTATATTTCTATATGAAAAAATTTAATTTAGATTATACCGATTTTCGATAAGCTGTTTAATTTGTTCTTGTTTTACATAGCATGTGATATTAAACACTTCAATTATGGATATTCACCTGCATTTATATTTACTGACCTTTTTTTCCTCGAGTGTCTATTTGTAAAATCAACTATTTGCTTTATGTTCATCTGCTGTATAAATTGTTAATTAATGTGCAGTAAGTAGTAAATAATTAACGTTTTATTTTCTTGAGCACTAAGCTCTTTGCCTGTCGATATTATTTGTATTGCAATGAAGCCACCGTAAACTATTGCAGTGCCAACCGTCACGCAATCGATCTGCGCAACCCTACTGTAGAAATATCATGAAGGAAAAACTATAAAGTTCAGTCGCTTTATGTATTCCCTATAATTAAAAAAAACTAATTAATTATTCTAACCTGAATATAAACCTAAAATACGATAATTAATTAAAATAAATTTTTTCATATTTTAAATTATCTTTCAGTTTGACAACTGTATTCGCACATAACCTTCTATCATTGAAAAAATAAAAATGTTTAACAAAATATTCTTGTATATTATTACGAGGTCTTGAACTCACACCGATTTTCAATTTTTTTTAAAGAAATTTAAATATAATAATTATTATATTTTTAAAATTAAATTCGATTTAATAAATTAATTATTTTTTGAAAATTATATATTTTATAAATAAAAAAAATTAATTTATTTAATTTGAAGTCTCATATACTTCCCGGTGTGTCTGAAGCAACTTTAATTGACAGTGCTTTGTAGGGGAGAATCACTACGTTAAGGTCACGTTTTGACTGGTAACCGTAACTTCCGTTTTAGGTCGAATTTGGGATTTTCTCACACATAGTTGTAAGATCTTTTAAAATGGAATGTTTTTTCTAAACACTAGAAAACGATAAGACCAAAAGTGTAAAAGTTAAGTCATTTAAAAAGAAACAATTTTGTCGTTACGGTCAGACTTATTATGTAATTCCATTTCCACTTACACATTTTCTAATTTCCACGCACTCCCACTTCCATTTCCTCTTTTTCTCATTTCCAATCCCACTTCCACTTTTGCTACTTTTCATTCCCACTTCTACTTTTTACAATTTTCATTTCCATTTCCACTTACACTTTTTCTAATTTCCACTCCTACTTCCATTTGCACTTCTACTTGAAGAGAAAAAGAGAGAAAGTAAAAAAGTAAGTGGAAATGAAAGTGGTAATGAAAATTAGAAAAAGAGGAAATGTAAGTGGGAGTGGAAATGGAAGTGGGAATGGAAATGGAATTACATAATCGACCCTCAGGACTTTACGGTTGGGCCACTGTATAAAATCAATATTATGTGACGGGAAATGACCCTTAAATGACAAAAATATTCTAAAATTGAGTTAAAAATGGGAACAGAAAATCTGAACTTGAAATAAAATTAGCCCACTAGACCGAATCTGATTATTTCTCACGTTTCACGTAATTGCTAGCTCTGAAAAGTCTAGATAAATTATCAAATTTTATTATTGCTTACTAATGCTCATCTCCTACAAAAATTTTACGACCAAAAACGTAAATATGCGCTTGACATTTTTAAAGAAAAGTGATTTTTATTTTTCAAAGTCTGGACCCTGCTGAAAATCCCTGTACAAGTTTAGCAGCCGAAGTTGTACCAGTTCTGATTAAAAAAATGTACCATTTCGACACCAGAATTTGGAACAAGTTCTTTTATTAGAACTTGTACAAGATAACCTTCTTTATATGCATCACAACTTTAAAATTTAAATTGTATGTTAAATGCAGAAATTTTTTTAAAAATAATAAATTGTTACAAATGTGTTGTACAAATAATAATAAAATATCGTTATTACAAATCATCTTATTCTTCTAAAAATAATATAGGTACTGCAACAGCATTAGGTAAAATATATTTTTACAAAGTTTTAATAGGTATATTTAACTTAATCCGTTGTAGTCAGTTTTTAAAAATATTGAAAAATTTATAAAGGAATAAGTTTTAATATTTGTACAACAGATTTCCGGAAAATATTTTATAAAATTTTGTACAATAATATTTACTTTAATGGAATTTCAATTTTAAAGTTTAATATAATTCCTAAAATTAAAAGTACACTATATTAGGCGAAAATTGATTTTTATACTCATTATCTATAAAACTTCAAAATTTAAAAGAAATTATCTAATTATATTTTTGTAGAAAGTTTATAAAATTTAATATATTTTCAATTTTGTTTTCTATTCTATGCAAATTTTTTAATTTCATATATAGTAGAAATATAAAACATTTAAAAATTATTGTTACTTTTACAAACAAACTTTATAACCCGCCTGGAAATGGAATCTTCGGTAAAATTATGAAAACCATGGGCGAAATCTATTGCCGAGGTAAGGGCGATTGGACCCATGCTTTAACCCTTAACTGACTGCTGCTGGACCCGACGTATTCAAATGTGTATTGTACAGACGGTATTGAATATTTTTGCACAAAAATTTTTAATCTGAGGTAGCTTATAATAATATTATGACTTAAAAATTTAAGGTTATATTATTGATGTATCATTCTTTAAGGAAAAAATTACCACAATAGCAAGACTTGCAAACAAGGTATTTATTTTGCAGAATAAAATGTGACTTCTTAGGTTAAAATTAAAAATTTATAATTATTAATGCTTGAAGCTACACTACCGTCGGAAATTGTACGAACTCTGCTTTTTCAACAACTATAAATCTGTTCAAATCTTCAAAAATATTGAAACTAAAATTTTTTTTTCTTTATTTTATTAAAGCTAATAACTCTAAAATCGTTTTTGGACCGATATAAAAATCCACTTGTCAAATATTTCTCAATAAACTACTTGTATGCAAAGCAAAGTTTCAGAATAATCGATGCCTGACAGTTGCCTAGAATTATTTCTAAGATTATTATAATTATTATACCCTAATAACACAAGATATCTTGCGGATATATTGATAATATCCCGCAGATATCCTAGGGATGTCCTATGGATATCAAAAGGATCTCTTAAGGATATCCAAAAAATCGGCGGTTTGGATATCCTTTGGATATCCCATGGATATCTGAGGATATCCACAGGATATCTTCTGGATATCTCTATAGACTTTCATAAATGTCCTCCAGATATCCCGTAGATATCGTCAGGATATCCCATAGATATCTTCAGGATATCCCACAGATATCATCAGGATATCCCATAGATATCGTCAGGATATCCCACAGATATTTTCAGGATATTCTCAGTATATCTTCTAAATGTCAAGAAGATATTCTCAGGATACTGTTTTTAAAGTCATTATGAGACTACGAGTGAGAATATTCTGTGAATTAAATTTTATATAAATAAAATAAAATGCAACTTGTTTTTCGAGAAAGTTGTTTAATTTGAAAAATTATTAACTAATTTTTGTCTCATTCGTGATTCATTCCTTTATTCATATGCTTAATATTGTCAGAAAATGAATTGTCTTTAAATAAAATATAAATTCTTCCCCCCAAATAACAAATAACTATTAATATTAATTATACATTAAGTGCATGAGTTTATTTAAAAACTTTGAAAAATGTGTTTCAAATCTTCATTTAAAATAAATTAGAAGCTCATAAGATTTTTGTTTGTATTATATTATTATTATATTATATATTATTATATTATATTATTATTCATTATATTAGCTTAACAATTTTAACCTTTAAAAATATATGTTGAGAAATTAAATATCCCGTGAATATCCTAAGAATATCCCACGGACATCCTGCGATATAATATCCTATAGATATTTTGTGGATGTCTTAGGGATATCCTACGGATGTCCTGTTGATGTCCCACAGACCGGCGGTTTGGATATCCCAAGATATCCTGGGGACTATTCCAAGATATCGACCATTGTTATGGATATCCTTTTGTTATGAGGGTATTTAGTACTTTTGTGCAAAAGGGCTTAATTTTTTCCGTTGTCCGTTTATTGTGTAAATAAATTAATAAATAAATAAATATTTTTTGCATTTATTAATATTATAAAAACCATTTTTTCTTAGTTTCTTTTCAGTTCATTCTGAAATATTCTTATATGTTTTCATAATTTCTTTTTCAAGGCTCAGTAAGCCTTCAAATTCCATAAGAATTTGTCATTGACAATTTGTCTTGAATAAGTCATTGTGACGAAAAAATTTACATTTATATTTATCAATATCTTGTACATCATTTGTTGAACTAGATTATGTCAATATTAGATAGATTCATCGTCCTAAATACATATATTAAAAAAAGAGTTAAGAACATTTTTTAATACCCTATTTCACAATATATTACAAATATGTAAAGTTTATTTAGTTAAAAAATAGTTAAATAATTGCACCTATTGAAATTTAATTCAAATGATCAAACTTGAAACACGCCATATTGGATAAGAAAGACAAAAAATAGGGAAAATTCAATTATAAAAAGAAATCTCGATATTAATTTTGTTACAGTTGAACTGCAAAGTATCTACAATTATGTCGAACATTATTTTTAAATTCACAAGTTTTGCTGCTGTGTTTCTGGGTAAATTAATTTATTATTATTATTACTATTAATGTTATAATTTCATGTTTTGTTAAATAACAATTTAAATGGTTTATTAATTTATTACAATTTGTTTAACAAATATTTAAATAGTTAATTAATACCTATATTATTTTAACAAATTGATTGTTTGACTTTATAATTATAATTATTGTTAACTGACTATTATTTTGTTTGTTTAATTGTTAAGGGGTTAGTACCACATCTCACTGACTTTTCTTAAATATTTTATTTTTATTACAAAGTTTATTTTATTGACTTCAAACTTTTTATACTTAAAAGAAGGGGTTTTAAACTATTTAAAAAAATTTTTATTCCTTATTTATTATGGATTATCTTGGTGTCATAGTCGCCTGAAAATACCCCTACTTGTGATTGGCGGACACGATATCTCTAATTCAGGTTATCGAAAAATAAAATTTTTGATATTTTCTTGAAAAGTAAGCTTGTCGCTATCGTCGGAACTACAATCAACTATTTTTGATGGAAAAAATCAAAATGGCGTACTTTTTTCATTTTTCACATTGTTTTTTCAACTAAAATTGATTAAAAAAATGGTTAAATATTAATGAAAAATTATGATTCTAGTTCCGACGATAGCGGTATATGTGTAGAATAAGCCATAAAAATTTGAGCGTAATCGGTGCAATAGTTTTTCCCTTATGATGTCCGCCAGGTCAAAAACGTTGTTTTGAGAAAAAGCGGATTTACGAAAACATGTCCTTTTTCAAGAAAATACCCCTTACACGACAGGATACATTATATACATGTATATATGCTTTTATATACATATTTATATACATATTTATATACATATATGAGGCAAAATTCCTGAAATGTCCGAACAAAAAATTAAAAATTTTCGAATTTAATGCATACTTTTCTAAAATGTTGTCATTGTTGGTGAAAGTCTAAAAATCAATATTATTATTGAATTCGATAAAATAGTTTTTGAATTACAACGTTTTTAATTTTTGACTTTTAAAATAAAAAATTTTTTCTTTGTACATTATTTATAAGTAGAATGCATAAAAGTTAACACATGCATATATATAATGATCTCAAAATCGGATATTTTTTATTTTTATTAACTATCTCAATGGAAAGCTTGACTAATTTCCTACAAAACATGTAATTTTCAGAATAGAATTTTTTTAAGTTTTTGAGATATTAATTAATTAATTAATTAATTAATTAATTACTATCTCAAAAACTTTAAAAGATCCCATTCGAAAAATTACATGTTTTGTAGGAAATTAGTCAAGCTTTCCATTGAGATAGTTAATAAAAATAAAAAAAATCCGATTTTGACCCACGTGAAAAGGTTCCCGGAATTTTTGCAGAGTGACTCTGGGAGTAGTTCCCAGAACATTCTGAGAACATTCCCGGAATTTTTTTGGTTTTTTCCCAGAATTCATGGAATTTTCGTTTCAATCAAATAATTGATACTCCGGGATGACTCCAACGTACATCCAGATATCCAGGAGTCAATTCGACAACTTCTCCAGGGAATTTTAACTGTAATCAAATAATCGATACTCCAGGATGACTCCAACGTACATCATGATGACTAGGAATCAATTGGAACACTTCTCCAGGGAATTTTAGCTGTAATCAAACAATCGATACTCCAGGATGACTCCAACGTACATCATGATGACTAGGAGTCAATTGGACAATTTCTTCAGGGAATTTTCGTTTTAACCAAATAATCGAGTTTCTATGACAACTCCAACGTACATCCAGATACCCAGGTGTCAATTGGGCAACTTCTCCAGGGAATTTTAACTGTAATCAAACAATCGATAGTCCAGGATCACTCCAAAGTACATTATAATGACTAGGAGTCAGTTGGACAACTTCTTCAGGGAATTTTAGCTGTAATCAAACAATCGATACTCCAGGATGACTCCAACGTACATCATGATGACTAGGAGTCAATTGGACAACTTCTTCAGGGAATTTTCGTTTTAACCAAATAATCGAGTTTCTATGACAACTCCAACGTACATCCAGATACCCAGGTGTCAATTGGGCAACTTCTCCAGGGAATTTTAACTGTAATCAAATAATCGATACTCCAGGATGACTCCAACGTACATCATGATGACTAGGAGTCAATTGGACAACTTCTTCAGGGAATTTTCGTTTTAACCAAATAATCGAGTTTCTATGACAACTCCAACGTACATCCAGATACCCAGGTGTCAATTGGGCAACTTCTCCAGGGAATTTTAACTGTAATCAAACAATCGATAGTCCAGGATCACTCCAAAGTACATTATAATGACTAGGAGTCAGTTGGACAACTTCTTCAGGGAATTTTAGGTGTAATCAAACAATCGATACTCCAGGATGACTCCAACGTACATCATGATGACTAGGAGTCAATTGGACAACTTCTTCAGGGAATTTTCGTTTTAACCAAATAATCGAGTTTCTATGACAACTCCAACGTACATCCAGATACCCAGGTGTCAATTGGGCAACTTCTCCAGGGAATTTTAACTGTAATCAAATAATCGATACTCCAGGATGACTCCAACGTACATTATAATGACTAGGAGTCAGTTGGACAACTTCTTCAGGGAATTTTAGCTGTAATCAAACAATCGATACTCCAGGATGACTCCAACGTACATCATGATGACTAGGAGTCAATTGGACAACTTCTTCAGGGAATTTTCGTTTTAACCAAATAATCGAGTTTCTATGACAACTCCAACGTACATCCAGATACCCAGGTGTCAATTGGGCAACTTCTCCAGGGTATTTTAACTGTAATCAAATAATCGATACTCCAGGATGACTCCAACGTACATCATGATGACTAGGAGTCAATTGGACAACTTTTTCAGGGAATTTTCGTTTCAACCAAATAATCGAGTTTTTAAGACAACTCCAACGTACATCCGGATACCCAGGAGTGTATTGGTCAACTTCTTCAGAGAATTTTACACGGAGAAAATTTAAGTATCACTTTTTGTTAAACTCATATGTATTTTTAGTAAATTGACTACTAAAGTGGGGAAAAAACGAGAAGAAGACTAAATTTCTTATTTAATAGAAGTCTCTTTAACAATATATGACCTCTTTTTTTCAATATTTAGTAGTCAAGTTAAGAAAAATTCGACGTGGACAGTGTCGTAATTTAAAAGGGTTAGATGAAGCCCCGACTTAATCGCAACAATTATTCATTAACTTTTAATTATATCATAAATAATATTAATGAGGCTTTAATGTATAGGTTATTTTTCTTTTTCTGTGTTTAAAATTGCACAATCCTGTTAGATTATACATTGAAAATACATTTTTTATGAAGTTAGGGGCGCTTAAAACATCAAGTACTCTTCTGAGCACATGTGAGCTTGTCTATGAAACCCCCCCAAAAAAATATATCATGTCATGTACATCTCTTATATGAGAGATTCTTTTTCAATCGCCCTAGCCCAAAAAGTCAATGTTCTGGGATTGGCTTCATACTTTGGTAAATTGTTGTCCGATATGATAGTAATAAATCCCTAAAATATAAACACAGTTTTCCTAAAAGTATCAAATTGAGACCAAAAATTGCATCAAATCTTTGCAACGTTTTGATGCACATAAGTTATATCAAAAAGAGATCGTTTTGTGTATCATTTTTAGAAATGCTACACGAAACGGTCTCATTTTTTGATGCAAAAAATTTAATCAATTTATATCAATCATGGCCGAATTGAATCGACTCAAAATTAAAGGAATTTTTTTCAGATATTTTGGTAATAGTACAATTGCGGAGACCATTTCACTATTTAATTTGAAAATGAAAATAACAGAAAATCAAAGACAATGTGCAATTCGATAATTAAAAAGTGACAGCTTATAAACATATAACCTAAAATGCATGAGAAAAAATTTGTCGATAAAATCAATATAGCCGAGCTTTTTAGAAGGTAGATGGCAGCACTCATCTATTTTCTTTTTTTAAATTTTTTCTGAATCGTTTTTATAAAAAGCAAAACTGCCATCTACCTTCTAAAAAGCTTGGCTATATTGATTTTATCGACAAATTTTTTCTCATGCATTTTAGGTTATGTTTATAAGCTGTCACTTTTTAATTATCGAATTGCAAATTGTCTTTGATTTTCTGTTATTTTCATTTTCAAATTAAATAGTGAAATGGTCTCCGCAATTGTACTATTACCAAAATATCTGAAAAAAATTCCTTTAATTTTGAGTCGATTCAATTCGGCCATGATTGATATAAATTGATTAAATTTTTTGCATCAAAAAATGAGACCGTTTCGTGTAGCATTTCTAAAAATGATACACAAAACGATCTCTTTTTGATATAACTTATGTGCATCAAAACGTTGCAAAGATTTGATGCAATTTTTGGTCTCAATTTGATACCTAATATTAAAAAATCATAAATATTAAATCCAAGTTTATAATTCTTTTAATTATTGAGAATCAGTTTGAAACGAAAATTCCCTTAAGAAGTTGTCTAATTGATTCCTAGTCATCATGATGTACGTTGGAGTCATCCTGGAGTATCGATTGTTATATTACAGCTAAAATTTCCTGAAGAAGTTGCCCAATTGACTCCTAGTCATTATGATGTACGTTAGAGTCATCCTGGAGTATTGATTATTTGGTTAAAATGAAAATTCCCTGAAGAAGTTGTCCAAATGACTCCTAGTCATCATGATGTACGTTGGAGTCATCCTGGAGTATCGATTGTTTTATTACAGCTAAAATTCCCTGAAAAAGTTGCCCAATTGACTCCTAGTCATTATGATGTACGTTAGAGTCATCCTGGAGTATTGATTATTTGGTTAAAATGAAAATTCCCTGAAGAAGTAGTCCAAATGACTCCTAGTCATCATGATGTACGTTGGAGTCATCCTGGAGTATCGATTGTTTTATTACAGCTAAAATTCCCTGAAGAAGTTGCCCAATTGACTCCTAGTAATTATGATGTACGTTAGAGTCATCCT